CCAGGATGTGTAGGGTAACCCCAAACCTGCAAAGGTCGCGTCTCCCCGACTGTCACCCATTTACCGTCGTAGCGTGGTGTCGCTGGGGGTGCTGATGGAAGCATCCTCCTCCTCCTCCTGCTCCTCCTCCTGCCCCGTCCTTCTCCTCCTCATTCTGCAAATTCTCGAGGAAGCTCGCACGGGAACGATTCAATGGTGATGGTATATAAACATATGTTTCAACAATGAACGCGCGACACGACCTGCTGATGGGTTCTTGAGCCAAACGGCGTTGGTGAGGACAATCGCTAAATTACGCCCCCTCGGCGGGCACGGCCAGAACAAAAACGACGCGGTCGCCGCTGCTGCCGCCAACGCCTCCTATGTCCATGGAGCTGTGGTTCCGCGTGTCGGCGCCCGACCGCTTCTCGCGCGCCCAATCCCCACACTTGACGCATACAGTCGGGCCGCTGAAATTAAGAAGCGACACGTTAGGAACGAAACCCCTGTTTAACCCCAACAGCGCAAGCGCACACGAGGGGGGCTAGAGGAACAATCAGCGCATGACCCAGGAACATCGAGCCCCTCTCGTGCCTACTAAGCTGTTCCGCTGTTCCTGATTTCGGCGTGTTGGCTGAGTTTCTGATAGCTTTCGGCCGTCAGTGAGTCTTGTTGTTTTAAGCGCATTCCTGGTGCCATCCCTCGAATCAGGTTTCTGCGTGGGTCATTTTGGTCCTCAGCACAATGATGCGAGATGGGAGATTCAGAGAGCACGCCGGCTCATGCTTCTTCACGGCTTCAACCAGAGCTGTCCACTGCTCAAAAAGGGAAGCGACATCCCCAATCGTTTTGGGTTCGAAGGTCCATGGCCACGCGCACCTTGGCCGACAAAATCGCCCTGGTAACTGCTGAGTACCACTCGTATACTTTTCCCAACCACCCGTCCCTCCTCTCCTCTCCTCTCCTCTCCTCTCCTCTCCTCTCCTCCTCCCCCTCCTCGCTCCTCCCCCTCCCCCACCCTGTACAGCGCTTTGTGGCCCCATAAGGAGCTCCACGCAAGGCCCCACTGGGGGTGGCCACATGCGTCCGCCACACCCAGTACAGCGTTTCGTGGCCCAATAGGGCGCTCCACCCCAGGCCCCAATGGGGGTGGCCACATGCGTCGGCCACACCCAGCACAACGCTTCGTGGCTCCATAGGGAGCTCCACCCAAGGCCCCAGTGGGGGTGGCCACATGCGTCCGCCACACCCAGTACAGCGTTTCGTGGCATCATAAGGAATTGCACCCAAGGCCCCCATGGGGGTGGCCACGTGCGTCCGCCTCGTGGCCCCATGGGGAGCTTCACCTGCGGCCCCAGTGGGGGTGGCCACATGCGTCCGCCACACCCGGTACAGCGTTTCGTGGCCCCATAGGGAACTCCACCGAAGGCCCCACTGGGGGTGGCCACATGAGTCCGCCACACCCAGTACAGCGCTTCGTGGCCTCATAGGGGGCTCCACCCAAGGCCCCACTGGGGGTGGCCACATGCGTCCGCCACACCCAGTAGAGCGTTCCGTGGCCCCATATGGGGCCCCACCTGCGGTCCCAGTGGGGGTGGCCACATGCGTCCGCCACACCCAGTACAGCGCTTCGCGGCCCCATAAGGAGCTCCACCCAAGGCCCCACTGGGGGTGGCCACATGCGCCCGCCACACCCGGTACAGCGCTTCGTGGTCCCCAGTGGGGGTGGCCACATGCGTCCGCCACACCCAGTAGAGCGCTTCGTGGCCCCATGGGGAATTCCACGTGGGGCCCAAGTGGGGGTGGCCACATGCGTCCGCCACACCCAGTACAGCGTTTCGTGGCCCCATAGGGAACTCCACGTAAGGCCCCAGTGGGGGTGGCCACATGCGTCCGCCACACCCACTACAGCGCTCTGCGGCCCCATAGGGAGTTCCACATAAAACCGCCCGCTTGCGTCGTCCACCGCACAATACTGCATTTCGCGGCCCTATTGATTGGGAGCTCCACCAAACCCCACTGGCACCGCCCGCATGCGTCCCCCCCACCCGGTACAGCGTTTCGTGGCCCCGTAAGGAGCTCCAGTGGCCACCGAAGGCCGCAGTGGCACCGCCCGCATGCGTCCGCCCCCCCTTGGTCCCAGTGGCACCGCCCGCATGCGTCGTCCACCACCCAGTGCAGCGTTTCGTGCCCCCGTAGGGAGCCCCACAAAAAAACCCCAGCGGCACCGTCCGCATGCGTTCCCCCCAACCAATACAACGCTTCGTGGCCTCATCGGCCCGCATGCGTCAGCCACACCCATGACAGCGTTTCGCGGCCCATAGGGAGCCCCATCGAAGGCCCCGGTGGCACCGCCCGCATGCGTTTCCCCCACCCATTACGGCACGTCCCTTACGCACTTCGTGGCCGCATAGGGAGTTCCACCGAAAACGGCACCCACATCGCTTTACTCACAACTGCATGTGGTTGGGTCCGTCGCGAAGATTCCAAGTTGATTGAAACGTCCGTAATCCATATCCCTCGCAGAGCCTTTTGAGATCTCCACGAGTTTGCGCACCCGTCCGTTGCGTCCACGCATGCAGACGATGTCACCCGCCTTCTGAGAATCCTGAGAATGTCATCGTCGCCCTCGTCAGGTCAAGTTCCGTCCGCGATGTCCAGCGTATCTCCTGAGATCTTCAACGCCTTCCAATACTGGGGTTTGCCCGGGCAAAATATGTCAAACACTTGTCATTCCATTCGCGAAATGTGGTTCGATCCCCGGCGAAGGATTCAAATGCTGTGTGGCCATGTATTCGCTAAGTGGCTCCTGGTGGCTCTGAAGGCCGAATCGGCTCATGCCTTTTGCTATTGACCCCGCAATATTCGTAACCTGGCCCATCATGATATTTCGTTCCAGCGTTCGATCCTTAACTGGGGTTTTTTCGCTTCGCCCTCGGCGTGCATGCTACGGTGGGCAATACTCAAAAGCAGTGGGTTCATTTGCTGGGTCATTCACAACAGTCCATAGCTCTCCTCACTCGTGGCTGTTCTAACCCCTGATGCGGCCTGTATCTCGATATACTCTCTCATCCCTTCGCGATGAGTTCTCAATACCACTTCCACGTAACTGTAGTCTCCTCCATACATCGGCTCTCCGAACATTTATTCCGATTTGCGAAAAACGGCGCCGCGCGAATGCAGAGCAAACGCGATGCTGGAAGGGCGCGGGGACGCGCGCCTCCTGGACAGGCGCGAGCAACCGCGCCCCCGTGCGAACCCCGATCCCGCGAGCGGCGCGCTCCCGTTTGACAATGGCTCATTGGGAAACTGTTTCTTGTGCAAGAAATCTTGCACGGTCGGCCCATCGGCGGCTCCTTCGGGCGAGATCCGGAACCACCGAGAAAACGTTGGCCATCGGATCTTCTAAGCGGTTTGCCCATGTTCGGTTTCTACGGAGTGGACCCGAAGACGTCGAGATCGATGTTTTTTTGCGAAAAGTCCTAGGCGGTTCGCACATTTTTCGGGTCGTTCGAACTGGACCCGAAATTTGTTTAGGCACAAGTCCTATTGATTTGGCCACTTTCAGATAGGTCGATAAAATTTTCGGGTCGTCGCATGACCGAACCGAAAGTTTTTTCGAGGAGGTCCTATGCCGTTTGCTCATTTTCGGGTACGTACACCGTTTGGGATTTAAAATTTTAGATTTCGAAAAGGAACCCGTTCCCGTGACCCCGGGTACGGGTTGCGCTCTGCCCTTGCATTGTACTGGGCCCCTCCGGCCAAACGGGGCGCCGGCCTGCCCATCCGCGCGCCGACTCTGCCCTCGCGACATCGCCCCCGTCCGCCCTCGGACCCCGCGAGTCTCATCCTGCGCGCGCAATCCCAGATGGCACCGGCGAGCACGGTGGCGAAATTGGGGAAACTTTCGGAGCGGCGCAGTAGTACGCGGCTTCGCATAGTTGGCTCAACCTCGCCGGGCTCAAGTTGAACCATCGGTATCATCTTCGGGCGTGCATAACTCCGGGAGCGGGTCTGTTGGTTGGGCGGGTACCGCCGCAACTGCTGCCGCGGCTGCCATTAACCTCGTTCCGCTACCACACTGACTCCCGAGGAGTGTTTGCACGGGAACGATTCAATGGTAGTGGGAGATCTGTTTTAACAACGACCGTGCGACACGATGTGCTGATAGATACTTGAGCCAAGCGGCAATGGTGACAACAACCGCCCGACTCTTATATTACATATATTATGATAAGCTCCTTACCCAGTCGCTAAGCTATGTTCTAACTCCTCCTCATCATCATCCTCCTTCTCCGCGGCCCGGGCACCTAACCCGCTTTGGATATGGTGTCTACCAGGGTCCTGGTGTGTGAGGAGATCCGTCCCAGCACGGTGCGCGCAAACGGCCGATGCTGCGCGCCAACACCCGAAACAGCCAACCGACAGGGCCAGCGGTAGCGAGCGCCGTCTCCACGCAGTCTCCACGTTGCCCCGCGGATTGTGAAACTGACATGCTGACACTCCCTACGAATTGAGCACCGCGCCCCCCAACAAACAGACGGGAACGAGAGACGACCAGACGGAGGGCGGGGACGGGCGAGAGGAGCTGGAGAGGCCACTGAGCGGGGAGAAACGTATCGGGAGGGAGAGGCGGCACTGATGGGAGAGACGATGGGGTGAAGGGGGGCGCGGACAAAAGAATGGGGGAAGCAGGGGGAGAGAGGAGGCCTCGGGCAGGGCGGCACCAGAGGGAGAGCAGGCCCCGTGTCAACGCCTGAGGCCCCACGCCTCGAAGTTGCGGGGGGGGAGGGCCGGGGCCGCGGGGGGATGGGGGTGGAGAGGGGAAGAGGGAAGGGGTGCGAGAGGGCAGGGGGGCTAAAGGCGGTCCAGGGGGGCTCCGGGGCTACCCGCCGTTTCTTTCATCCTCCACCCCATCCTTCCCTCCTGCCCTCCTCCTGCTCCTTCCCTCGGCCCTTCCTCCAAATTTTCCTCCTGCTCCTTCCCGCATCCTGGCTCCCTCCCCCCCCCCACCCGCGCGCCTCCGGGTCGAAGACCCGTTCCCTCTCCAACTTGGCCCTGTGGCCCCTGCCAGGCTCCGACCTGCTGGCGGGGGCGCAACCCCCCTCTCGACCCTGTCGCGGCCCCCTTGTCCGCTCCGCTCCCTCGTTTTCCCCGCCCCCCACCCCTCCCGCGCATCATCTCCGCGCGGTCCCCCCCGCTCTCCCGCTGCCTCCTGCGCCCCATCCCCGGACTCCCAACTACACTTCGGCGTCGTCGATGTTGTCCTCCCTCTCCCGCTCCCTCTCCCGCTCCATCTCCCGCTCTCTTTCCCGCTCCCTCTCCCTCCTCCGCTCACTTGTTTTTCTTTTGTCACTGATCTATGTATGTGTATATATAGTTGTGTATTATGTTTCTCTCCCACCGTATTGCGTCGGCCTCCATCATGTTGCCGTTTCGCATGCGACGCCTTCAAACTTCAGAGGACCAAGCGCGCCCCTCACGCAGATCGCCGCGTCGCGGTCAAAAACACAATACTGTGCTGAGCTTGTCATATGTGTCCATACATGTGCATATATATACACACTTATATATATATATGTATATATATCCAATAAAAAAAACTATATAGAAAACAACAGAAAGTGAACCATGGCGTTGCACAACAACAACGGTTGCCCTTTTGGCATAGCGTTGGTTCCCCAATGATGTCGGATCATGCGTTGAAACTGTGGACCCCAAGGGTAAGTTATTGCAGTGTGGATGTGTAAGCTGTGTGGTGTAAGCTCTGTGGTGCAAGCTACGGGGTGCAAACTATGAGGCACAAGCTATGTGGTGGAAGCTAGGTGGCGTTAGCTACGTATTAGATGTGTGGTGCAATCTCTGCGGTGCAAACTACCTGGTGCAAGCTAATTGGTGCAAGGTGCGCGGTGCAATATATGTGGTGCACGCTGCGTGGTGTAAGCTACGTGGTGACACCTACGCGGTGAACACACATTGCAGAACTTGAATGCGTTAACTCCGTTGTTCGCGCCGTCCCCTCACCACCGCCACCAACAACTTCTGTTTCATAACATGTGAGGCCGCGGCTGCTGCGACTCCTTGCCTTCTGTTGGCGCATCTCTGCGGCCGCGCTGGCGCTCGCAAGCTCGCATGCAAGGCGGCCGACTGATTTGGCACAACCGATGCGGCCGCGATGACGCCTACCGTTGGCGCCCCCCCCCAGCGCGTCGGTGATGACGGTGCTTGGGTGGTAACGGCGACAATGGAGGCGATTGTAGATGACTATGACATGATAGGCGGCGCTGATGCGGGTGATGGCAAGGAGGTGCGGGCCTGAGGAATGACAATCACCCTGGCAAGCTTTTGCTTGACCGACATGTGTCTTCGGTGTTCTCCCCCGTGCGTTGCTGGAGAGCGCTAATTTGGAATTAGTCGGACACGAATGGTTCTGGAAGGGATTCGACACGCGCGCGTGGCGGCGCGCGCGCGCGTAGCCCGCATAGAATTCTTGGATACGGACTCGCGCATTATGCGCATGCTGGATCAGCGCGGATGCACCGCGTGGTGAGATGAGAAGGCGCGTTCCAGACAAGATTGTTAACGTCATCTGGTCTTCCAATGGTCTCAGCAAGTGGGCGCGGGAAGACAGTGCTCACTATTTGTGACACAACATGTAAGAGGATGCGGATGCATTATGTAATAGTGCTGACGAGCCTGAGGACTTGACATGAGCGCGCGCGTGTGAACTTCGTGCAGTGTGTGGCGCAATTATCTTTTGCGGTGAACGAGTGGGCGCGCACTTGACAAGGATGGGTGGGGGATGCCAAGAACGCCCCAAGACGGACGCTCCCAAATCGCCCCAAGCCGCCCAAGATGGCCTCAAGACGGCCCAAGATGGCCTCAAGACGGCCCAAGAGGCCAGAGGCCGCCAAGACGGCCCAAGAGGCCTCCCAAGAGGTCCCCACGAGAAGAACAACATTGATTCCCGTAGGTTTTCAATGAGTTTTCAGCCTTTTCGCCTTTTCGGCTTTCCGACGCTCCAAAAGGGCCCCAGAGGCCCCCAAGACCGCCCCAAGATAGCATGAGAGGTTCCCAAGAGGACTCCCAGACGGTCCAAGACGGCCCAAAAACGGCCCCAGAGGCGCCCAAGATCGCCCAAGAGGGCGCCAAGACGGCCCCAAGAGGGGGAACACGAACCACCAATTCGAGCCTTCCGCTCCAAGAGGCCCCCAGGAAGCCCAAAGATGCCCCCAAGAGAGCCCAGGAAGCCCCCTGGAGGCCCCACGAGGCTCCCAAGAGGGTATAACAGAGGCTCCAAGTGGCCCCCGAACGGCCCCCATGAGGCCACGAACGCGCAAACAAACGCCTGCGATGGCACAACACGGGCCGGACGAGTGAGCGAGGCGATTACGTAAAATACCAACCTTATCAAAGCCCCGCAAATGCTGCAAGATCCCCCCGTTTTCCACTTCTACCACAGTATCCAGGATACTACGGCCCTTCACGCCCCCACGCTGTTCCTCCATAGCAGTCAGGGGGTCTACTTCATTCAAGCCCATGTAAAACACGCCCGAGAGAATTCAAGCGCTTGGTCAAACAGCTGTTGTTGCCCGTGACTCCAGACATGCTTCTCAGCATGACGTCTAAGCGCAAGCTGTGGCAACCCCGTTGGTGACCTCTTGTTTCTTGCCAACCGCAATCGGAAGGGGTCGAAAGCCCGCCTGAGCCAAACCCACTACAATGTGTGGCCAACCATCATGCGCTCGACTGCGCCCCCACTGCCGCGCGTTCGAGACAATCGCCAACGAAAAAGCTGGGAATCGACGGGGGATACGGTCACCAAAGCGGCACCCCCATGCCAATTGACAAGAACCGCGCGGCCAACGATGTCAAACCGCGTCCTTCCCACGTGTGGGCGCTTGAGGTTCCCGCCAATGCTTCAACTGTGTGTGTGGGGGGGGCAGTTCGCCCGTGGATGCGAACAAGAATTCACGAATGCATCGCGTCGAACTTGTCTACCGACATCCTCAAGAGATGTGGGAAGAAAGGTGGATGAGAAGTGAGAAGGAACAATACCAACGAAGGGAGGCGAAGTGCATAACGGCAACGACCCAGACCAGGAGGACACCCCATAGAAGACGCGACGGTGTTTGCGACACCGCCGTTTGTAAAGACTATCCCTTCTATATCACCCCTAGGTATACCCCTTATACAATGGCAAAACAATAGTGCAACTGATGCCGATGGCTCTTCGGCGCACGTTCCCACCCCCCTTCTTCTCCCCCACGGGGAACAGCCGAGGGTGTCGGCGACGACCGACCCGCGAGAGGGGGAAGAGACGCGAAGAGGACCACCTTTACCGATGGGGGGCGGGGATTCGTCCATCACTGCTGCCTGGGGGCTCGAGCCTGGGGGGGCCTCGGCAGGCGGCGGATCTGAGTATAGTCTCCCCGCCCCTGGGGCCCGAACATGTCCGTATCCACCGCCCGCCGAGGCCCTCCGAACCCTCGAACCCCCCCCCGGCGGTGGTCACGGACAACTGCCCGCGTCGGACCCGATGCTGGTTCCCACGGGCTCAACCTCAGTGCGTTGGCCGCGGCCCCCTCGCGGCACGCACGCTCCCCTTGGGTCCCACATGGGGCGCGAGAGCCAGCGCCCGCTGCTCCCCCCCCACCCAGCGCCCACCCCGCTCCTCGCCCGCGGAGGCAAATCAGAAGGAAGGAGGCGGTGGTTGTTCCCGACCACCCTGTGGTGTTGGGTCCTCGTTTTCAAGAGACAATGCCCCACGTCTCCTCTCCTCCTCTACTCATCCCCCTCCTCCCATCCCTGCCTCTGCCCCTGTCTCAGCTCTCCGCTTCATGTGGTTTGTTGTTTTGGATCGAGTCTCAAGCGAAAAGAACACGAGGCTGCGCGATTCGCCCCCCCCCCCCCCCCCACAAGGGCCCTCCAGGCCGAATCCAACCAGCCCTTTGGGCTGAGGTGGTCTAACGAGTCCTGCCCTCTTTCAAGCCCTCTTCCCTTCTGGGTGGGAAACCCTCCCATCCAGTACCTGAGGTTTTTGATGGTTTCGCCCGATGTGGCTCCAAGAGGGCCTCCGATGCTCCAAGATAGCCTCCAAGACGGCTGACGATAGCTGAGGCTGTTTCAGTATAGCGTCCGACATGATTACCTCCAAGAGGCCCGACTGAAGGTCACAAGACGGTCCCAAGTGTTCTCGGAGCCGCCGCAGGATCTCCCCAAGAGGCCCAACTCCTTCAACAACCCACGTAAACTTAAAGATGTTTGCCTTCTGGCCTTTTCGCTTCCGATGCGCATGTAAGGCCTCAGGATGGCCCAAGATAGGCACAAGATGGGCCCGCGAGGCCCCCAAGACGGCTCCCGAAGCGCCCAAGATCGCCCCAAAAGACTACTTTGAGGGCCAGGGGGGGGGCAAGCATTACGACCCCTCTCGTTTCACCTACTCCTTCCACGTTGGCACCCAGAGGCCCTCCAAGGCTCCCAAGAGGCCCCCAAGAGAGCCCCAGAGGGCCCCACGACCTTCCAAACGAGCCCCAGGAGGACCCCATGATCCCCCCAAAGAGCCCCAAGAGGGCTCCAAGAGGCGATTATCTGAAAGTGTGCGGTGCTGGCCCGAATGGCACATTAGACTGCGTTATCCCTGACCGCGCATGTACTTTACTTGAATGGCATGGTTTCCTCAATGCCGAACTCTCGCCTGGCATCGTTTCGGGCAGAACTTCGCCAGGAGGCCTCGACCTGCCAAGAACTGCACAGATATAGGCATCGAGGGCGATAGTTGCTCAAGCCATGCTCTCGCTCTGGCGCCACACCGATGGTTCTGCAAGCCTTTACCAGCTACGCTGAGGATGGGCATGTCCTCCAACAGGCGTATGTTGGAAGACACATCAAATAAGTCAACAACGAATCAAAACTAATCAAAAGAGCACGAACAATCGTAGACAGGCAAATCGTTTTACGATTCGTGAATAGACCTCCTTTCGAAGGGCATGCCCAACCTAAAGCTACACACGTGGCTTGCGATCCCCTGTCAAACTGAATGCTCGACCTATCGGAGGGGGACTGGGACGAGGCGGCGCACTGCCACATCAATGGCCCGTGCAGAAAGATGCCTGTGGTCGTCCTCCTCGAACTCCCGTGTCGCTCTTGCCACACTCCCTCATTGATGATGATGGTGATGATGCTGATGGTGGTGATGATGATGATCATCGTCAGCATCATCATCATCACCACCAGTCTCATCTTCATCATCATCATCATCATCATCATCATCATCAGCATCATGACCACCATCATCAGCAGTATCGCCATCATCATCAGCGTCATCATCACCATCATCAGCAGCACCATCATTCGTGGCATCAACATCGCCACCATCAGCATCATCATCATCAACACCACCACCACAACCACCATCATCATCAGCAGCATCACAATCATCATAATCATCAGCATCGTCAGCATCATCAGAATCAAGTTTCATCATCAGCACCATCATCAGCATCATCAGCATCAGCATCATCAACATCATCGTTATCTTCATCAGCATCATACTCATCACCATCATCGTTATCACGAGCAGCCTCCTCCTTATCATCATCGTCATTATCACAAGCACCATCATCACCAGCATCATCATCAGCATGATCAGCATCACCATCATCGTCAGCAGCAGCATCCTCGTTATCATCGTTATCATCGTCATCATCGTAATCAGCAGCATCATCACCACCATTACCATCACCATCATCATGAGCATCATCAGCATCAGCAACATCAGCAACATCATCATCATCATCACCATCACCATCAGCATCAGCATCAGCATCAGCATCAGCATCATCATCATCATCATCAGCATAATCAACACCTTTCTCCCCAACGATATCTGGCGGTCCCCGTGGGTCTCTGGAAGCTGCCGCCGAAGCCCCTCGAACGCTCCCATAGGAGACCAGAGGGGTCCGGAAATGCACCAAACTTAGATCCGCGATCCTCGTCCATCCTCCCTCCCCATGATCCTCTGTCCCCCGTCCCGGCACAGGAGGAAGCTTGGGAACGCCTCTCCCACTCCAGCTCCTCGTCGGTCAGTCCTGGGGCGGCGGGCCTCTCAGAACTCCGTTGCCCTTATTTTTGCCAATCCGCGGGCGGCCCCCGGACCTCCCGAGGCTCTCCTGGGGCATGGCTTCTCGCCCCGGCCCGCGGGCGGCGGCGGCAACTCGGCGACGGCGACGGGGCCGCGCGGCCCTGCAGCACCGCGGCGGCGGCGGCGGCGGCCGCGCCTGCAATTGCTTTTGTTGCTCTTGCTACTGCGGCTCCTGTCCCTGCGCTCATGGTTCATCCCTCGTCCGCAAGCCCTGGCCTACAACACTAGAACTATGTAGGGCCACAGACATGGAATCGGTTACCGTGGGAACGTCACCGCGCACGTCAACCCAATGGATGTCGAGCAGCGTCGCCCTCGAGTCGAAGGGAACCCCCTTCCCTTTGACACCTGCGCCGCCAGGGGGGGGGACCCGGGGAGGGTGTGACCCCCCCCGCCTCCGAGTGATTTCAGCGATCTTGGGACTCGCTGGCCTCCGAGATGGCACAAGATGGCCTCCAGCGTGTCCAAGAGGTCTGACGACGGCATCCTAGGGACCTCCAGCCGCCCACAAACCGGCCCCCAAAAAGTCCCCAAGAGGCGACCTGAGACCCTAACACGCCCCCTAGAGGCACAAAGAGGCTCCAAACATGCCTCCAAGAGGCCCCGCGAGTCTTCTTGCCCACGGCACAAACACGGTGTCCTGTCTCTTCTCCAGTCTCGAGGTGCCCTTCACGCCGATCAGGGGTAATCGTCGGCCCTCCTTCGCGAGTTCCTCGGCTCCCTCCAGGCCTTCAGGGCCGACAAATCCGGAACCCCTCGCCGCCCTGGGGCTTCCTGATCCCCCTTCAGGGTCGGCGGAACTGGCCGCAAGGCCTCTCCGGTGCGAGCAGTCAGCCCTCGAACCTCGCAGGGCCATGGACAGTTCAGCGAGGGAGGGCGCGGCGGATCCTTTGGTGATGATCGTGGCCTTGGAGTCTATGCAGGCAGCTATGTCCAGAGAGCTCGTCTGCTTGTCAAGGCTGCTGAACACCTCCCCTTACCAGCAAAATTCCACGGTAGGGCTGCCAACGCATTCACATTTGATCACGCATCACATCGCATGCCGTGCACTGCCCACGATCCCAGGAAGCTGGGCCTATGTCGTAGAGAGCATGGTTTGCAAGCGTGCCGAATCGTGCGAGCGGCCTTGGGCAACCCGCAGTCCTCATTACAAGACCGACACTCCTGGATCCAGACGCCCTCCCACTCCCACCACGGGCAAAGCAAACGCCTCTCTCCCAACCCTACCCCACCCTGCCCCGCCCTTGCACGTTCCATTCACCCTCGCCCTCCCGCCCTGAAGAATCATGTAGGCGCTGAGGGAATAGGCTCGAGTGGGTCCGTAGGAAATTTCGTTGGTGCTGTCGTCCACCTCCTTGCGTCCTCATCGTCGCCTTCTGAAGACTATGGGGCCTCGTGAGGGCCCCTGGAGGCCCAACATAGCCTTGCGCCTGCTGCTGTCGCTTTTTCAACGATGCCCTCCCCCCCCCCCCCGATCAAGCAATCGTTCTCATCGCGGTCCTCGGCGTCCACGACATCCTCACCGCCCTCCTCGTCATCTTCTGCCCCCTGTCCCCGACGCTACTCGTCTCCCTCTCCTCCTGCTCCTCCTGCCTGCCCTCCTTTTCCCCTGCCTCGGTCTCCTCCTCGTCCTCCTCCTCCTCCTCCTCCTCCTCCTCCTGCTCCTCGTCGTGTTCCTCCTCGTCGTTCTCCTCCTCCTCCTCCTCCTCCTTCTCCTCCTCATTCTTTTTCTCCTTCTCATCCTCCTCCTCTTCCTCCTCCTCCTCCCTTCTCTGTCCCTCCCTTCTCTTCTATCATCTTCCCTTATTAAGTCCTTCCTTCCTTCCTGCTCCTTCTCTCCCATCCCTCACCCCCGTCTCGGGCACCCAAGCGGCTCAGGCTGCCCCGCCCCCCCTTCGCGAGCCTCGAAGCCACACCAGAGGCGGGTGAAAGGCGTGGCTGGCCCGGCGATGTGCGTCTTGCCGTCCTGCGCACCGTGGCGGCGACGACGATGGCGGCGACGACGATGGCGATGTCTTTGCTCTGCGCGTTGGCGCTCTCCCCCCAGAGCTCCCCCTTCGGCACCCCCAGGGACACGTGAATAAACAATCCTGGATGGAACACTGCTCCCCAGGGCCTCAAGGGGGCGCGGAAAAGTATAGAGGATTCAGGAGGGCGGATGGCCATTCCCGCTCAAGCACATGCCCGACTTGGGGGCGTGGACCACCTCGATTTTGGCCGCAACGGGCGACGGGCTGTGCGCGACGCTCGCGCGGTGACTGCGCGAGGAACGCCCGCGAGGCACACCTCCGAGCACATCATGCGCAGCGACACCGAGCACAGCTGCCGCAACAAGCTTACGCGGGCTGGCCCACACGTGGGGGGGGGGAGTATGCTACGAGTGCGTTATGGCCCCTGCATGACATCCAGACTGCTGCCTCGCCCCTGAACGTGCGGCGGTAGCTGGGTGATCTGAACGAGGTCTCGTTGGCGAAATCGCTGACCTGACATGCCAATCGACACATCCACAGACGCGTTTGCATCTGCAACCCGTCGCCCCCCAATGGATCCAACGGTGCCCCGTCGTGCGATCGTGCTGTGGCCAACCAACCTAACCACAAGTGTATCGTACCGTATCTTTATGCCGGGACGGCTTATAAGGGCAGTGATGTGCATCTCCAAAATTACATTATCGAGCCAGTCTATACAATGTAAAATGTTAGCAAGCGTGGACCCGAAACATTGTTTCTAGCAATATGTGTGATGCAATTCATATATATATATATAAAGATATATATATATATATATATGCGGAAAGGTGCGATTTATGCGGGACAAAGAATGTAGTGCAACCTATGTGGTGCAACCGCGACCAATGTTGTGCAATCCATTTGTGTGCAATCGACGATGTGCACTACAAATGTTGTACAATCCACGTGGTGCAATATATGTAGTGCGTGATGCTTATGCAGCGTCTGCTCCTTCACATGTTTGGGCCTCGTAGCATCATGCGCTCGCTTCCCACCGGAGGCGGGGCTGTGCCTTCTGGCGCGCGCTCGCCGAAGACCCCTCGAGAGGAAGCGCGACGCCCGCCTCCCCCGCTGCCGAGCACTGCTGCCGGCCATGGGCTTGGCTGGAGCTATGCCCCTGGAGCTGGGAGACGGCGGGATAGGAACGCCGCAGCGGCGTCAGCCTCCTCAGGCAGCATGGGCCCACCCCGTGGAGACGCCCATGCACCTCAGGTCGATTACGGCAGCTTTACGGCCCACCCATATATATATATATATATATATATATATATATGTATCAGAACACTTCTATATCTAGTTTTAGATATATTATCCCAGTGCGACCCTACCTAGGAGTTGGAACCCCTAGGAAAGCAGCATTAGTAGTAACAGTAACGCTAAGTTAAAGCTAAGCTTAAGCTAAGCCACAGCTAAGCTACAGCTAAGCTAAAGATAAGCTAAAGCTATGCTAAAGCTAAGCTAAAGCTAAGCCAAAGCTAAGCTACAGCTAAGCTACAGCTAAGCTAAAGCTAAGCTAACGCTAAGCTAAAGCTAAGCTAAAGCTAAGCTAAAGCTAAGCTAAAACTAAGCTAAGTCTAAGCTACAGCTAAGCTACAGCTAAGCTACAGCTAAGCTACAGCTAAGCTCAAGCTAAGCGAAAGCTAAGCTAAAGCTAAGCTAAAGCTAAGCTAAACGCTAAGCGAAAAGCTAAGCGAAACGCTAAGCTAAAGCTAAGCTACAGCTAAGCTAAAGCTAAGCTAAAGCTAAGCTAAAGCTAAACCTAAAGCTAAAGCTAAAGCTCCCAGGGGACTGGGGGGAACCGCTCCCAGGGGACTGGGGGAACCGCCCGGGGCGCTTTCCATTGCCCGGCCCCTTTAAGCGTGAGAGTAAGAACCCTTCTAGGCAGAGCCGAGGTAGGGAATTTACATTAAAAACTAAATCATCAAGCAACAAACGGAGCCAACCATAAAAAAAAACGAAGCTAACAGTTAACACAAACGACGCTGCTCGTTAAAAGTTACACATCAAGCAACAAGCCGTTATGTCTACGCAAAAAAGAACGGACACCTAACAGAATAGTTGAACCAAACAAGAGCCGAACCTTGAAACAAAAACATCAAATTACACAACATCAAAACGCATGCGGACATACTTAAGAAAAACAATTCACACGTGGCATCTTGAGGATTAAAGTGCAGTGGACAACCACCAACAAAAATCCCACACTCAATAATACCGAACAAAAATTAAATGCGTGGTAGCAACACCAAAATAATCATACACACAGATTAAAACCCAGACTCAACCATTCAAAACATGTGTGTCAAATGTGAACTTGCGATGGTAACCAACCAACAATCGAATATCCCAAGCTCCAAACCGACATGAACAAGAATGGCATCAGTGGATACAAAACCAAAACACCACATATAAAAGTATAAAGACTTTAGCCCAGGAATCCACTGGAAACGGCCTTCCAGTCGCCTCTCTCGGGCGCGCGGGGGAGGGGAGGGGGTCACGTCGGCGTCACCGACTTCGTCGTCGTTTTCGACGTCGACATAGTCACCGAAGCAGAGGGGGAAGGGAAAGGATGGGCAGGAGGGGGAGGGGGAGGGGAGGAGAGAGGAGGATGAGGAGGAATGAGGGAGGGCGAGGATGACGAGGGTGGTGGTGATCATGATAGTGATGGTGACGATGAGGGATTAGGAGGAGAAGCAGGAGCTCTGAGCATGTTTTTGGATGTATTATTTGTTGAAGCGAACGTCTGGTCAACTCAAACGGCGTGCCGCTCACGCGGTTCGCGGCCCATTGGCCCATGAGTGGGCGCCGTCGCCGCACTCATGTCGGGGCACCCCATCACGCGGTTCCTGGCTCCAGATGGGATTCCACGGAAAGCCCCAACGGATGGATCCAGAAGTTGGCATTGCGCTGCCGCGCACATGTCGGCATACCTTCACATGGTTCGTGCCCCCACAGGGAGGTCCACAAAAAGTCCAAATGGGAGTCCCCACAGCGCTGCCACGCCCGTTTCGGCACACACCCCTCAGATAGTGGACCTCGCGGCTACCTGCAATAGGGAGGTCGTCGTCGTCGTCGTCGGTGTCGTGGTCGTCGTCACGATGTTTGGGTCGTCGTGCTCGGGGTCATCATCGTGGCCGTGGACGTGGTCGTGGACGCCCTGGTTGTGGCCGTGGTCGCTGTGGTCGTTGTGGTCGTGGTCACCGTGGCCGTGATGGTCGTCGTCGCCGTCGTCGTGGTCGTGGTCGCCGTCGTGGTCGTGGTAGTCGTGGTCGATGTCGTGGTAGTGGTCATCGTCGGCATCGTCGTGGTCGTGCTCGTCGACGTGGTTGTTGTCGGTGTCGTAGCCGTCGTGCGCGTGGTCAGATTCGTCATGGTCGTTGTCGTAGCCGTGGTCGTGATCGTGGTCATCGTCGCTGCCCTGGTCGTCATCGTCGTGGCTATGGTCATCGTTGTCGTTGTCTTGGTCGTCGTCGTCGGGGTCGCGGTGGTTGTCGAAGTTGCGGTCGCGGTCGTCGTCGTCGTCACAGCCGTCGTGGGCATTGTCGTGGTCGTGGCCGTCGTCCTGCTCATGGTCGCGGTCGTGGCCATCGTCGTGGTCGTGGTAATGCCCGTCGTCGTTTTCGTCGTCGGCGTGGTCCCGGTCGTGGTCGTGATCGTTGATATTGCCGTCTTCGTCGTCGTCATGGTCGTGGTCGTTGTCGTCATTGTCGTCGTCGTGGTTGTGGACGTCGTGGTGGTTGTCGCCGTCGTGGTTGTGACCATAGCCAACGTCGTGGTCGTGGTCGTTGTCTCGGTCGTCGTGGTCGTCGTGGCTATGGTCTTGGTCGTGATCGTTGCCGTGGTCTTACTCATGGTCGTGGTCGTTGTCGTCACGGTCGTGGTCAGTCGTCGTCGAAGACATCGTCGACGTCGTGGTCGTTGTCGTCATGGTCGCGATCGTGATTGTGGTCTTGGCAAGGATCGTGATTGTGGTCGCCGTCGTGGACCTAATCGTCGTCGTTGTCGTTCTCGTCACGTCCACGGTCATGGTCGTTGTCATCGTGGTTGTGGTTGTGGTTGTTGTCGTGGTCGTCGTCATTGTCGTGGTCGTGGCTGTCGTCGATTGCGTGGTGATGGCCACCGTCGTGGTCGTAGTCGCTATCGTCGTCGTCGACGCAATCGCTGTCGGAATCGTGGTCACGGTTGTCGTCTTGGGTGGCGTCGTCTTCGTGTCCGTTGCCGTCACGGTCGGCGCGGTCGTTGACGTAGTCGTGGTCGTAATTCGTCGACGGAACCATCCTCGCCATCGTCATTGTCATCATCGTCGCCGTCATCAACATCGCCCTCACGTTGTCGTCGATATCCTCGTCGTCATCGAAGTACTCGTCATCGTCGCTGCCGTCGTCTTCAACGTACTGGCCCTAATCTGCATCGGCACTGGCTGCCAGAATCGTCATCGTTGTCATATCCATCGTGTTGTTATCGCCGTCGTAACCACCACCGCTGTCGTGAGGGATGGCGGACCTGCACTTTAGAAACTCTGGGGGAAGAATGTGGCGATGAGAAGGGGCATGCATGGCAGCGTCCATGTTGCAGCGTTGCCAGCTTGCAAACTGTAGCAAGCTATAGTTAGCAACTCTGGTAACTATAGCGTTGCATGTGCATATGTATCGAGCGGGTTGGGGTAGCAAGCTATAGTTACCAAATTTGGTAATCATAGCTTGCTATAGTTATCAACTTGGCCCCGACATCCCCACTCCAGATTGCCTCTGTTCTTGGGACCCCCCACCCCACGATTCCTCTCCCAAAAACGTCCAACGCCCTCCTCCCCGCCCCCCACCTGGCCCCGACATCCCCACTCTAGATTGCCTCTGTTCTTGGGACCCCCCCACCCCACGATTCCTCTCCCAAAAACGTCCAACGCCCCCCTTCCCGCCCCCCACCTGGCCCCGACATCCCCACCCCAGATTGCCTCTGTTCTTGGGACCCCCCACCCCACGACTCCTCTCCCAAAAACGTCCAACGCCCCTCTCCCCGCCCCCCACCTGTCCCCGACATCCCCACCCCAGATTGCCTCTGTTCTTGGGACCCCCCACCCCACGATTCCTCTCCCAAAAACGTCCAACGCCCTCCTCCCCGCCCCCCACCTGGCCCCGACATCCCCACTCCAGATTGCCTCTGTTCTTGGGACGCCCCACCCCACAATTCCTCTCCCAAAAACGTCCAACGCTCCCCTCCCCGCCTCCCACCTGGCCCCGACATCCCCACCCCAGATTGCCTCTGTTCTTGGGACCCCCCACCCCACGCTTCCTCTCCCAAAAACGTCCAACGCCCTCCTCCCCGCCCCCCACCTGGCCCCGACATCCCCACCCCAGATTGCCGCTGTTCTTGGGACCCCCCACCCCACGATTCCTCTCCCCAAAAAATCCAACGCCCCCCTCCCCGCCCCCCACCTGGCCCCGATATCCCCACCCCAGATTGCCTCTGTTCTTGGAACCCCCCACCCCACGATTCATCTCCCAAAAACGTCCAACGCCCCCCTCCCCGCCCCCCACCTGGCCCCGACATCCCCACCCCAGATTGCCTCTGTTCTTGGGACCCCCCACCCCACGATTCCTCTCCCAAAAACGTACAACGCCCTCTCCCCGCCCCCCACCTGGCCCCGAAATCCCCACCCCAGATTCCCTCTGTTCTTCGGACCCCCCACCCCACGAGTCTTCTCCCAAAAACGTCCAACGCTCCCGTCCCCGCCCCCCACCTGGCTCCGACATCCCCACCCCAGATTGCCTCTGTTCTTGGGACCCCCCACTCCACGATTCCTCTCCCAAAAACGTCCAAGGGCCCTCTCCCCGCCCCCCACCTGGCCCCGACATCCCCAACCCAGATTGCCTCTATTCTTGGGGCCCCCCACCCCACGATTCCGGTCCCAAAACCGTCCAACGCCCTCCTCCCCGCCCCCCACCTGGCCCCGACATCCCCACCCCAGATTGCCTCTGTTCTTGCGACCCCCCACCCCACGATTCCTCTCCCAAAATTGTCCAACGCCCGCCTCCCCGCCCCCCACCTCGCCCCGACATCCCCACCCCAGATTGCCTCTATTCTTGGGACGCCCCACCCCATGATTCTTCTCCCAAAAACGTCCAACGCCCTTCTCCCCGCCCCCCACCTAGCCCCGACATCCCCACCCCAGATTGCTCTGTTCTTGGGACCCCCCACCCCACGATTCCTCTCCCAAAAACGTCCAACGCCCCCCTCGCCGCCCCCCACCTGGCCCCGACATCCCCACCCCAGATTGCCTCTGTTCTTGCGACCCCCCACCCCACGATTCCTCTCCCAAAAACGTCCAACGCCCCCCTCCCCGCCCCCCCACCTGGCCCCGACATCCCCGCCCCAGATTGCCTCTGTTCTTGGGACCCCCCACCCCACGATTCCTCTCCCAAAACGTCCAACGCCCCCCTCCCCGCCCCCCACCTGGCCCCGACATCCCCACCCCAGATTGCCTCTGTTCTTGGGACCCCCCACCCCACGCTTTTTCTCCCAAAAACGTCCAACGCTCTCCTCCCCGCCCCCCACCTGGCCCCGACAGCCCCCCCCCCCACCCCACGATTCTTCTTCCAAAAACGTCCAACGCCCCCCTCCCCGCCCTCACCTGGCCCCGACATCCCCACCCCAAATTGCCTCTTGGGACCCCCCACCCCACGATTCCTCTCCAAAAACGTCCAACGCCCCCCTCCCCGCCCCCCACCTGGCCCCGACATCCCCACCCCAGATTGCCTCCAGATCCCCTGGCCCCGACATCCCCACCCCAGATTGCCTCTGTTCTTGGGACCCCCACCCCACGATTCCTCTCCCAAAAACGTCCAACGCCCCCCTCCCCGCCCCCCACCTGGCCCCGACATCCCCACCCCAGATTGCCTCTGTTCTTGGGACCCCCACCCCACGCTTCCTCTCCCAAAAACGTCCAACGCCCTCCTCCCCGCCCCCCACCTGGCCCTGACATCCCCACCCCAGATTGCCTCTGTTCTTGGGACCCCCACCCCACGATTCCTCTCCAAAAACATCCAACGCCCCCCTCCCCGCCCCCCACCTGGCCCCGACATCCCCACCCAGATTGCCTCTGTTCGTGGGCGCTCCACCCCACGATTCCTCTCCCAAAACCGTCCAACGCCCCCCTCCTCGCCCCCCACCTGGCCCCGACATCCCCACCCCAGATTGCCTCTGTTCTTGGGACCCCCCCACCCCACGATTCCTCTCCCAAAAACGTCCAACGCCCCCCTTACCGCCCCCCACCTGGCCCCGAAATCCCCACCCCAAATTGCCTCTGTTCTTGGGACCCCCCACCCCACGAGTCTTCTCCAAAAACGTCCAACGCTCCCGTCCCCGCCCCCCACCTGGCCCCGACATCCCCACCCCAGATTGCCTCTGTTCTTGGGACCCCCCACTCCACGATTCCTCTCCCGAAAACGTCCAAGGCACCTCTCCCCGCCCCCCACCTGGCCCCGACATCCCCAACCCAGATTGCCTCTATTCTTGGGACGCCCCACCCCACGATTCCGGTGCCAAAACCGTCCAACGCCCTCCTCCCCGCCCCCCACCTGGCCCCGACATCCCCGCCCCAGATTGCCTCTGTTCTTGCGACCCCCCACCCCACGATTCCTCTCCCAAAACCGTCCAACGCCTGCCTCCCCGCCCCCCACCTGGCCCCGACATCCCCACCCCAGATTGCCTCTGTTCTTGGGACCCCCCACCCCACGATTCCTCTCCCAAAAACGCCCAACGCTCCCCTCCCCGCCCACCACCTGGCCCCGACATCCCCACCCCAGATTGCCTCTGTTTTTGGGACCCTCCACCCCACGAATCCTCTCCCAAAAACGTCCAACGCCCACCGCCCCCCACCTGGCGACAGCTATCCAGCTTTACGTATTTTCGTCACCGACGCGAGGCTCCTCTCAGCGACTTCCTTCCGTTTGCGCTCTTGGCCAGCACAGCAGCCGTTGCACCTCTGCTTTCCATCCGCCTTCTGCGTCGTTCGCCCGGCCAACCAGGTGCTGTAGTGCTCCCTCTCGAAAGCGCCCTTACATTCCACACATTTCCACTTTCCACGCTGCAGCTTCGCGCCATCGATGCAGCGCTTGCACTTGCGGTGACGCTCTGCCACGCCCTCCCACATCCACTGCGAAAAGCATTCACGCCGCTGCGCCACCCCGCACGCAACGCAGGCTCTCTCGTCCTTCCTCGCAGCCGCGTCCCTCTGCGCAGCGCCAGCGTCGACGCAGCGCTTGCACTTCCGGTCACTCGCGACCACTCCATCCCACATCTTTCGTGAAAAGCAATCGCGCCGTTGCGCCACCCCGCACCCAACACAGGTCTTCACGTCTTTGCTCGCCGCCATATTCCGTTGGGCGGTTGCAGCGTCCACGCACGTGGTACAAGCAATCGACGCTTCCGACGCGTTGACCAACATGTGAGAGGAGAATTCCGCCTTACTCTTTGCCGCTCCACATGCTGAGCATACCACTCGCTTCGCTTCTTCGGCGCGGGCCTTCTCCACCTCTCTCTGCGACTTCTTACAAGCCTTGCATGTGGGTTCGTCGTTGACCTGTTCCGCTTTGGCAAATTCAACTGGTAACTTCTGCTGGCCGCAGCGCGAACACGTCAGGTGCTTCTTCAGCTCCTCGCATTCCAGGCACATCCCTCCTTTGCACCGGGCGTTCCCTGCCTTATCCCACTGAAGCGCCGCGAAAGCTTGCTCGTACTTCCGATCCTCGCACACGCGACAACTCCGTCTCTCCGGGCAGTCCACGCAGCGCCGCGTGGTCAACTTCGACGGATGGTGCTGTGACGCGTGGAACGCCTCCTGGCACTTCCATAGACCACACTCCATGCATTGCCACGGCGTGCCAGCCCTCTTCTTATCTTCCATGCACACGCTGCACACGCGGAGCCCATCTGCGCGGCTCCACTGCCCGACCGTTGGGTACATGTTCTTGTACTTCGTGCACCCGCAGACCGCGCACCTGCCAGACGGCATGAACTCGCGCTCTATCGCCTCCCAGTCCAATTCTTCTCCGCGCAACGTGCGCAGCAGTAAGTCCGGGCCCTTCCGTTCGTCCTTCTTCTGATACGGCGCAATGTCGAAAGGGCGAAAGATCAGCATGTCCTCGCGGCGCTGCACCCGCGTCAGTGCCACGTAGCTCGACAGAGGTGACGTGCCCCCGCCGATGCTCAGGTCCACTATGACACCTTGCTTGAACGTCTGCCCCTGCGCCGCATGGGCCGTCACTCCGAAGGCCGGGGCCAGCGGGAACTGCCGTCTTTTGACCTTCAGTCGCGGATGCGGACGGCCCTTGTCCACGAACCAATCTTTCTTCTGCGGGATCACGGGGTGCAGGCCGGGCGTCTTCAATCCCTCGATCGTCCACTGGCATGGCTTCCTGCCGCCGTTCCCGTCATCGCCTTCGTCGAACAACACGAAAATCACTTTCGGCGTCTTCTTCAATATGGTCTCCCCGCCGCGCGTGACTCGATCATCGACGCCGTCCCCGTCGCATACCCAGGATTGCACCCGGCCCACGCGACCGCGCAGCAGGTTCTTGTCCTCGCTTCGATCGATATGATCGGTCAGAGCGACGGGCATGCCTTCAGCGATGGGTAAGAAGCCGTACAAGTCCCCGCTCTCCTTGTCGTGGCGTTGGAGCCATGCCATCTTCTGCTGCGGCAGATCCGGCCGCTCCCGCAGCGCCTCTGGCGTGGACGTATCTCGCGCAGGGACGTACACCATCGGCTTCCTGTGCTTGCGTGCGTACTGGGACGCACGGAGCTTGTTCGCCTCGTACTTCACGTCGTTGTTTGGGAACACACCCGGCGCCACGAGGAACTTGTCTGACTGCAGACGCGGGTCGTCGGGGCCATCCACCACGAGCTTGCGGCGCGCGCGTTCCGCTCTGCACACCTTGCACTCCTGCTCGCGGATATCTTTCGGCGTCACGGGGCGTTTCCGTCGTTGCCCCGCGCTTGACGACGCTGCGTCCCTTCCGCCACTGCACAACTCCCGACACGCCCGATTCCCGCAGCATACGTCCCCCCCCAGCCAGCTCCCAGGGACGGTCGTATGCCGGCCGTGCAAGAATGCGTGCGCATCCGCCGACAGCGACCCTGTTCGGAATTCCTCCTGCACCTCCTTCAACCAGGCGTCGTCGCATCGCTCGCACTCTACCAGCTCTGTCACGCCCTGAACCCCACACTCGGCTCCGCCCCACAGTAGCGACTGCCCGTGCAACGCGGGTGGCAGCGAAGTGTACCTGCGCGCAGCCGAAATCCGCTCCGTGGGGACGTCAGCGAGGAAGCCTCCGTCTGGGGGGGCCAGCTGCCAGAAGTCACCACTCAGCACGACGTTCAGGCCGCCGAACGGGCGTGGAACGCCATCGTCGCCGAGTTTCGTCGTGCCCACGTCCCGAATCACCCCGCGAAGTTTCGCGTCCACTTCTGCTAACAATTTAGCGCTCACCATGCTTATCTCATCGATAAAGAGCCACCTCCACTGGAGCAGTCGCTTCGCAGTCTCGTACTGCAACTTCACGTCCTCCCCCCCCTTCTCTTCCCCCCGCTTGATGGCCGGAATGCCACACGCATGGTGAATGGTGTCGCCCCCCAGCAGCTGAGCCATGACGGCCTGCAGGGCGGTTATCTGGAAGTGCACTCCGATAGTCCATTTCATCACCTTCTCGAACAGCTCATGACGAATAATGCGAAGCACGTGCGACTTGCCGGTCCCAGGGCCCCCGTGCATGCACCACTGCAGCGGCTCACCCATGCTGCCGTCCTCACTTCCCTCGCCGTCTATCTCGCGCATTACTCGATTCGCCACCTTCTTCACCATCTCGAACTGCTTCGCGTTCACTACACGCCGCCCCGTCTGCTTGTCCACCCGGAACTCTAGATCCTTGAGCCACGCGGTCACGTCCTCCGATGTTGCGGCCTGGCCAGCGACGGTAACTGCGCCGTCAGCCTCCGCCAGGCGGTCCGCCATGGACTGCTCCTTGTTCCGAGATTTGCGCGCCTCCCTGAGTACCTGCTCAACGTCGCAGGACTCTTCTGCGGGCCACGCACCCAGAATCTCGCTCAACGGCGTTTCGCCATCGCGGAGCCCCCACACCTGTTGCGCGACACTCATGCCCCCTTTCGAATTTTCGTAGTGGGAGACGCCTCCGGCTCCCTGCCCAGGGTCTGCGTCGTCCTCCTCGCTGCTGCTGTCCCCGTCGCCGTCCTTGCGCCTCTTCCCGCCCACGCGGGACTTCAGCGCCTCGTCGAGCTGATCGAAGCCCACGTCCAACTCCTCGTCGCTCACGTCTTCGTCGGTCCCGTCCCCCGCCTCTTCAGTGTCTCGTGGCCGAACGCGGTACACACTCAGGAAGTTGCCCACGTACCGCGCGGCTTCCCTCGTCTGCACCCCGCCGTCCAGCCATGCCACCATGGCCGCGTCCCACGTCGGCGCCTCGCCGCGCAGGCTCCCTGCAAACACGACGTGCGCGTCGGCCGCGTCGGGCCTCAACGTCCACGGGTGGAAGTACGTCATGACAATGCGCGCAGATCGCTCCGCTTCTCCAGGACGTCCGCGTGGCACGGGCGCTCCGAAAAATGTTGGTGCCTTGGGTCTCTTGTTCCGCTTGAGCACCCACGTGTGACGAAGGTGAGCGCACCCCTCTGTCTCTGGGTAAGGCACCCAATCCACGCCCCCTCCTTCCTTTACCATGTAGTCCTCCCCAGGCACCAGGTCCTGCTCGAATCTCGGGTTCTTACAATTCTCCCGCACCTTTGCCTGCCCCTTCTGCGTCAAAACAGCGCGATGCCGGGGGTGATCCGCATCCCCGAGTCTCGTCGGGAACGACAGCAACACCGGCGTCCAGAACGTCGCGAACTCGTACGGCGACAAGTGCCACAGGTCGGGCACGTTCGGTCGCAGTCCATACAACATGCCCACGTCTCGGAAGGTCACCTTTCTGCGTCTCCTCTGCCGCATGTCCACTTCAGCAAACTGCGCTTTGCGCCCGCCTCCCGCGCGGTCAGCCAGGCGCTCGACCAAGTCCACGTACTCGCGTCCATAAAAGGCGGTGGTCTGGCACGACTTCAGCGATTCCGCCGCAGTGACGTCGTCCTCCCTCGCAAACGCCCTCAGGTTCGCACACTCCACTTGCCCCCGCACGATGCCCTTGCCGTACGCGTCGCTCATGATTCGGTTCGCTACTCTCTTCCCGATCCGATTCGAATTCTCGCCCTCCAGCTGCCTGCCAAGTTTCTCTACTCCCTTGCAGCACTCCTTCACTTCGTGAAAAGCCATGGGTTGCCGCTTCGTGCAGTAGTCGCAGGCGTACCCTGCCTGTGCGTCCTGTGCCATCTGCGCGACCTTGATGATCGCTGCGTCGTTGAGCTTCTTATCGCACGCTTTCCCGCACGTACAACACACATCTGTGATGGGGAAACGATACGGCAATTGCACGTCGGAATTGAAACGTTGCGCGGACAACATGCGTGGATGCGTGCCGTTCAGACTCGCGTGATTCATCGGCCCGTGCAGGCTTCCCGTCCGATTCCGTCGCCCTGCCTTGGGCATGTCCAACGCTGCCGCCTGCCCTGGACACACGACGATGGCGCGGTCAATGAGCTGCGACGTCCGCGGAAAGTCCGCCTTACACAACTTCGGGTTGTCCTTCCGGCGGCACGCCGGCAGGGGTACTCGCTCCCCAGTCTCCTCGTTCTTCAAATGAACGTGGTTCTGCTTCCTCTCCTGCAAGTACTGCACGTCTTCGTCCAAATACGCTTTCTCCCATGCCACAGCGTCGTCTGCTGCCTCCTTCTCCGTTGCTTCTGGGTCAAGTGTGCGACACTGAAACGCGGGCCTGCAAATGAGACCGCGCTCTTCCTTGAACTCCGGCCACGACTTCTCTGCCTCCTCCAACTTGCCATCCACCTCCTCCGATGTCATCTGCTCCGAATAAACCTGGCGGCACACGCGACTCTTATACTTCAAGTAATCCTCCACGATCTTTCTTCCGCGGCCGTCCACCTCGTCGCGTACGATTTCGAATACCTCTTCCAGCGGTGTGTGCTGGTGCAGGCACTGGATGAATACCTGGCAGTGCGCGTGGAGCGACCCCGTGGACTTCTGCGCTTCGATCGACACGTAGTAGGCATCAACGCGCCCGAACGCGCCCCCACCGGGCTCAGCATTACTCCCGAACAGGTCCTGGCACGGTGCCCCGTTCTCCGCCTCGTTGCACCGCGGGCAGTTCGGACAGATCCGCACGCCGAACAAGTGACGGAGCGCGGCGTCCACCAGGATACGGAACCCGTCCACGCTGGCCATGGGATCTCTCGCAAGAATTCGTCTGCGCTCGTTCCATGGCGGCACTTCTGCCTCCCCCGCGGCCATTGGCAGGTCCATCTGCAGCCCATCCATGTCGGGGGCTACGCGCGGCCAGCCCCGACCCCCCGCCAGCCGCGACTGCGCTTCGTCATCAGCCGCCTTGTGCACAGGGTCTTGCCGTCGAGTGCGCGAGAGTCTCACCATGAGAAGATTGTGACCTTCGTCGGGCGAGAAGGTTACGAAAATGGGGACGCCGTACCGCACTCGCAGCGCGTTCGTCTCAAATCGCATGACTCGACGCGCTTCCTGTGTACCAGACAGTCGCCGCGAAGTGTGCTCTATGTGCGTAAGCAGCTTATGGGCGGCTTTCCCCAACGTTGGCACGTGCCGCACTTTGGTCATGTCGCCGTTCACTTTCTGTTTCCTATTGTTGATGTCTACGTACTTCCCGTCGAGCGCTTGATAAATCTGCTTCGCTCCTTCCGCGATTTCCGCGGGAGTGAGCTGCTCGACCTCGCCTGATGCGTTCGCGGACACATACGTGAACCACGTCCTACTCAGGTTCACGGCCGATCGAAACACAAGGTTCCACGACACGAATCCGAAGTGCCAGTCGCGGGAAATCTGGCTCTCCACGCGACGACTCATTATCCTCACCCACAGCGGCAGCTCCACCCGCGGCGCCCCGTTCCCCCTTCGGTGGCGCGGGCGCTTCATGAACTCTGGGCAGTCAGGCATTCCCGTGCAATACTTAAACAAGAACGCGAACGCTACCCCAAAATACCAGGGCTCGAACTGATCCATCATAACGTTTCCAGTGCGCACGCGGAGCCGATCCACGCGCTTCCTTTCGCGCCCAGCCTGAGTCAGCATGTCGCGCTCCACTGCTTCTCGGGCCGCCTCATTCGCGCCCGAGGGCACTCCCTCGTGGACGCGCCCGCGTTTACTTGCCCGTTCTGCCTTCCCGCCGTCTTCCTCGTCCTCGCTGGAGTTCGACGTGTCGTCGGCCCCGCCATGCGCGCACTCCTCATCCAGCCTTTGCACGAAGGTCCGCACGGCCTCAATCCGCTGCGCATTGATGTCTATTTCGTCGAAACTGCTCTTCTCACACACAACAGCGTTCGCCTTCGTGGTCTCCAAAATCTCTCCTGCCTCACGTAGCCCGTCGGGCCTCGGCACGGGCGTCGCCGCCTTCTGCATTTGGATCTTCTCCAGCGCGTCGTCCAGGGGCACCAGCCGCATGACCTCTGGTGGCACGCCTTCCTCCGGAAGCTCCATGGCCTTTCTCCGGACCTCATCCATGTCCACGTTCCGGTACGCGCGATGCCCGCGAGCCTTCGCCCCCTGGATGAGATCCACGACCACCTTCCTGCGCACGAGAGCCTGGTGTACGAACGTGGACATGCTTGCAGCAGTATCGTCGTCGCCGCCCGACTTCAAGATCACTGACACAATGCCTGCAAGCTCCGCGCCCGTGCGGGGAATTACCGGCGCATGCCCGTCCTCGGCAGCCTCTTCAGCAGCAGCCAGCTGCGCCAGAACGTCCGTCCACGGCATCGGGAACGACGTCGCGTTTCCGCGGGCCGCCATGCGGACCTCGTTCGCACCCACTTCCATGTCAAAAGACCTCTCCTTCCGGTATCGTTTCTCCAGCGTGAAGCACACCATTGATGTGATGCAGACAGAGGCGCAGATCATCTCCAATATCGTCACCTTGCTACCGAACAGTTCTTCCGGCGAATAGAAAGCCATCGTATCATTGGCCAGCGCCGCGGGGGGCAGCGTCGCCTCGCCGCGAAGGCCCACCATCGCGTTCTTACACTCACCACACAACGGGGCTTCACAACACTTGCACGCCGTGTTCTCCGAGTGCCACGTGCCACCTCCGCACCGCATGTCCTCGGGGCAACAGAGCACGCTGACGGGCCCCTCTTCTGATGGGACCGTCACTTGCCAATCATTGAACTCCTCCATACGATCTCGGAGATGAACACCGCTGCTACCCTCCCCGTCCGCACTCACATTGCCGAAGCGCTCCACGTACGCGTCCACCGACATATGCTCTCTCACAAAAGCGCCCGACAGCCAGAACAGTCCGTCCGCGTTCGGACTCACCGCGCGCCATTCGATCGGGTTCCCTCTGCGCCCTTCCACGTGCGGAAACTTCCGCGCGCACACCATGCACACGAGAGAGTCGACGGCACCCTCGCGCAGACTCCGCGCATACTCGAACAGACATCGGCGATCGATCGCCAGTGTTGCAAGCGGCGCGCCCGTTCGAACTTTCCATGCAATGGCCTCGTTGTACGCGGACCAGTACTATGCCTCTCTTCGCCTCGTCTCGTCTTCTTCGTTGCACGCGAGCGCCTCCGCGACGTCCCGTAGATCCCCCGCGTGATTGCTTACCACATGCTCCTGGAGCTCCGCGTTGCTGGACCCTCTCCACCCGCATCTGCTGAAAGCGCAGTGCGCTGGCGGCAGTACTACGGCACCTCGTGAGAAGATGTCGTCGTCCTTCAACGATGCTCCGTGCACGGAGACCGCTGGAACGGTGGGGTGCTTTTTCATAAGCTCAGCAGCAGCCCGTAGACCTTCTTCCCTTCCCCTGCGACAGACGTCCGCGGACACGCGGCCGTTCTCGACAGCGCGGACGCGGTGCACGTGCGCTGCTCCCGCTGCCTCCGTGTAGCCGTTCTCCACCACCTGGGCCTTGCTCTGCTCCGTTCCGCTCCTGCCCGCACCGCCCGCACTCGCGTCCGGTCCTGCACTACTCGGCCGCGCCGTCCTGGACACCCCCCCTTCCTCCGACACTCGGCCCTCCCCGTCCGCGCTGGCCCTGCCCGAATTGCGCGCCTTCTCCGGCCGGCTCACCGGGTGCGGGGAAGGCGGAGGGGGCGCCCCCTGGTCGGACGGCCTCCTCCCACCTCCATTCTCACAGACTGTAGTCTGAGCGCTGGCGCCCCGGTCGGCCGGCGCGCTTTTCCGTGTTAAGCGTGCTCGTTTCGCCGTCGTCTGCAATCCTGCGCTCTCGGGCTGCCCTGTCTCTGTCCCAGCCACCTCCGGAGGTTCGTCTGCCCCCTCGGAAGCCGCTTTCCCGCGGGAATTCTTCTCGGCGCGCGTCCACACTGGCCTGTAACAGGTACTGCTGATGTCGGCGCCTGTCTCATTGTATATTTCAAGGACGACTGCCCCTTGCTCCTCGGTGATATCGCCCGCACGAGGCCATTGCCCCTGTACCGGGCTGCCCCCCAGGATCTCCTCTCGGGACAACGTCATGTCATACCCCCCGCGTGGCCCGACGTGCCCGTCAAAGCGGGAGTACGTGCGCAAGATAACTCGGTCTGGCAGCGCTACTCCTTGCATGCCGTGGCGGGCCAACGCAAACCTCACGATCTCGCCTGCATGAGCGGCAACGCTTAGCTCCCCACCGTGCGACGCCAGATTTAACCACGCATCCTCGACGTTTCGCAAATACCCCACGCACGCTTCACATGCGACGCGTCGCTCCTCAGCGGACGCCAGGGCATGGCCACACCACCCAGCGTTCGACACAAGCTGGAATATACTGTCCGCTAGGCTAGCGTTGACCCCGTGTGCAAGCGATGCACCCACACAGCGGCCATCCCGTGCCATCTCGGCCCCGCGTTCCTCGTCCGTCTTCGCCTCGAACACCACTTCCCCCATCAAGAATTCCATGAACTTGCACGTCCGTTCTTCCACCACGCGGCATCTATCCTCTGCGTCGGGAGCGTCTGCCAGAGCGTCCCATGACTCCTCCCACCCCTGCCAGGCACGCACCCACGTTTCTTGCATGACTCGCAGGAGCGCTTCCGTGTCGCCCCACGCTTTCCAGAGCTGGGCGCGCAGCTCTCCCGGCACGAACTCCAGTCCGGGCACGTCCCACGCATCCGGCTTTTCGCACGGACTCAGCAACAAACGCAGCGCGCGAATATCCGACTCCCTGATGACTCGCACTGGTGGCACGAGATCACACGGCAGGATGTGCACCGCTGGAGCGCGACCTCTCCGCGCGGCGACGCCCTGCACGACCGGCCCCACACCGCGCTTCTCCTTCGACGTCGCCGACGAAAGTCCCTCCAGGTCGACCGCGCCATGTTCCAATGCCGCTACCTCACCGACGCTTGACTTGCCCGACCGCGCTGCGCTCGCGGCCGCCCCTGACCTCAAACCCGCATCACTCGCACCCGACTCCGCCCCGCGCACTCTCGCAGGCTCGAGCACGGCGGCCACGCGCGCGTACATCAGTATGTGCACCGACGAGTCAGCAGCAGTCTTCCATCCACGCGCGTCAGACGGCGGCACGCTCGGCCATACTTCGCCGTCGTCGCGCATTTCCCACCGCGCTCTGCCGCCATGCGATGTCCGGCAGCACGCGTTATAATGCCCCGTGCGAAATCCTTCTCCGTGGTGGAACACACAGCTCACCAGCGCGTACTGTACTCGGGGCTTTGGGGGAACTTGTTGGCTGTTTCGGGCCCGTTGGGGGAATGAAGGTTTCGTGAAGGAGGAGGAAGATGTACGAACATTACACCCACATCAATTGAATTACTGCAGCGTGAATGCCTGTGCCGGAAAGACAGGCAAGATCGGAGAGGCGCCCAGAGACATGATGCCCAGAATGTGGTGCTCCGCCCCCGTGCCCTCTGGCACGTGGAGGCGTGCTAGAATGCCAAGTCCTGCCTGATAAAACTTCTGGATTCTGGACTGTTCTGAAGGCCCACCCATAGCTCGCACCTCGCTGCACGGATCGCCCCCTCTCCCCGAGGCTCTGTCGGCGCCGAGACACGCCCCTGGAGTTGTCCAAGACGTCCACACCACCCAAGATGGCTTCCAGGACCGCCGAAGAAGCACCGAGAACGCTCCAGGAGCACCCCCAGAGAAGACCGCGGAAGCCAGAATCACGGATATGCATCCTGTGTTTTTCAAGATGTTCGTCCTCTCCTGCTCGTCCTGCCCCGCTGCACCACCTACCCCAATCCTCCTTTCCCCGCCCTCCTCTTAATCCCCAGGACGCGCGCCCGGTTGAGCGAAATTTACATGTCTTCCACTTCAATGAGACCTCCTTTGCGTCGCGCGTAACCCCAATTTGGGGTCGGCGGCAGAGGCGGCAGCCTTTAGATTTGGTAATCATAGCTTGCTATAGTTATCAACTTTGTTATCTATAACTTGCTACAGTTTGCAAGCTGGCAGCGCTTAAACATTGACGCTGCCATGCATGCCCCTCCGCATCGCCAAGTTACCCCCCCCAGAGCTTCTAACATGCAGGTCCGCCATCCCTCACGACAGCGGTGGTGGTTATGACGGCGATAACAGCACGATGGATATGACGACGATGACGACGATTCTTGCAGTCAGTGCCGTTGCAAACGAAGGCCCGGACGTTGAAAACGACGCAAGCGGCGATGACGAGCACGACGACGACGACAGCGTCGGTGACGACGAGGATGTCGACGACCAGATGAGGACGATGCTGACGACGGCGACGATGTTGTCAATGACGATGGCGACGATGGTTCCGACGACGATTACGACCACGACTACGTCGACGACCGCGCCGACCACGACGGCAACGATCGCGAAGACGACGCCACCCAAGGCGACCATGGCCACGATCACGATAACGACCGCGACGACGATGATCACGACTACGATTTCGACGACGGCCAGGCCACGGCCACGCATTCGACGACAGCCACGACCACGACCATGACGACGATCACGGCAACAACCACCACCACAACCAGGACGACAATGACCATGACCACGACCATGACGACGACACCGACAACGACGACGACGAGGTCAACGACGACGGCTACAATCACAACCCCAATCACGACCACGACCACTACGATGACGCCCACGACAACTATTTGACGACGACGACGTCCTCAACGACGACGGCGACAACAATGACCCTGACCATGACGACAGCGACCGCGACCATGACCAACACCACGACGACCACGACATAGACCAAGACCACGGCGGCCACGACGACGACGACGACGACGACCGAGACAACGACACCGACCACGACGTGGGCAACGGTCACGACCACGACGGACGGCGACGACCACGACGACAACCACAACCATGACGACGGTAGCGACAACGACAACCATGACAACCATAACCACAACCACAACCACCGACAACGACCACGGTCATGACGACGACGAAGACGGCAACAACAACGATCACGACCACGACCACGCCCACGA